ATCTGCTCACACTTAACAAAATTATTCCTGTTAAGTCCAAGAGTTCCATTTTCTGTTGGACTTCTTTGATCTCATCAACATCTAAGCAAGTTGCATTGCTTTGTGTTTTCATGCACTCCAAAAGCTCATTTTCAAAATTACTTCCTTATACGTAACTATTCATTAGGATTTCTGAATCACTTACAGTAATCGACATTTGAGGAATAAAAGTATTCACCTATTATAGAGGCATTTATTAGCACCCTATGCAGTAGTAAATTATGAAATTCACCACCATATAACATCATAAAGGATCCAGAACACTCTCTGTAAGTGGTGCTGTCTCAGGGATTTTAAAAAAATGGTTTCTCTGAAACCCACAAAAACACTTCTTCTAATCAGTGGGTCTTGGCTTTGGCCTGAAGTTAAATACAAATGGAAATACCCTTTAACAAGAAAGAAAAGCACAACAAGAAATAAAGAAAGAAGCTCTTATAGATAAAGCATAACAAGGAAGAAAAAACAATGATCATCTGATTTCGTGAGGTTCTCGTCTGTTCCTGAAACATATATATGTGTATATAAAGTACACAGATGGGTGAAAAAAATAAGATAAATCAATCCTTCTTTTAAGCAAAGAAGCTCAGAGACAACTGTTGTTTTGTGCTTAGAAACCATTTCTCGTTTCTCATCTCTCATCTCTCTTTATACAGACAACTGGCTCCATGTACTTTTTGAAATAGCCTTTACCTCCCTCCTGCTCAAACAAGACATCAGAAGTAAGGCCATGACCCTTGGACTCTTGTCCATGCCCTGTTTAATGCTTTGATACCTCTTAAAGATCCAGCTTAGAGCAGTCAGTGCATACCTGCCACAAACTACTCCATCCTTTTTGTGACTGTTGGGCTGGAGTTAGATCAGTGCTTTGGAAACTGTGTCAAGAAGTCTCTGGAGTGGAAATTTTGACTAATAAAGAACTGTTTTGTTCTTGAACCACTATTTTCATCAATGTTCATTTCACCATGACAGCACATACTGACTATTGAGGAGACTTCAGGGTTGAATCATAGTCTGGAGTTTGGGATTGCATTGATGAATGCTTTGCACACAGTATTGAAGTGATGAGCATCTTTGGATTGTGGCAAATTACAATAATTTGCTAAAGGAAATCCTGATCTAACAAGAAAGTCTACAGCTACATGCCGTTTGAAAACTTTGAAACATTTCACTGACCTTACTGTATTTTCCCCATTAGCCTGGCAACAAGCTGTCATACTGGATGTGTACTACTACATTTCTTCTTCATTTGAAGTTAGATTTCCCGTAAGTTAAACATCAAAGACCTCCAAGGATGGACACTTAGAACAGAACAGGTGAATATCTGTTCTATTAATTTATTGTCCTGATGATATTTGATCATGTAAAAAGCTAAATTCCATTTGATGCAAGAGGCATAAATGCTCCAAAATAACCTGGAAGCATTTTGGTACCAAATCCAGTCTATTACAGGAGAACTAACATAGAACAGAACTATTGCGAGGCCACTGCCATCCAGAAGATACAGCTTTATATAGCCTTTATATTTAATAACTGCTGAAGCACATGGTACTAAAGTGAATGAAAAGCACATGCAGTTTTCTGTATCTCATGTCCTATCATTTGATGAAATATTTTGTAGGAGCTTTTAATGTCCTTTACTACTATTAGCAGGATTTGGTGATTATCAGTAGATCTTAAATCTGTCTCTGGACAGCTTAAACATTCTTTTTTTCTATGAACAAGTTCACAGCTAATTAGTTTATTGCACGTGTTCACTTTATTTTTCTCTATAATTACTCCTGTACTTAATTTTCTTCATATCAGCACACATCACTGTTAAGCTGCTATCTACAATGAGTCTGAGTTATGTCTTGATTTGGTTTCTTCTATTTCTATGTGCACTACATATTAAAAAATATATTACGGTAATTTCAATTTTTGTTCTAATTTCTGGTACAACTCCAAAAAAACAATTTATAAAACACTAAATGAATAACACACTTTGAACTTAGGTAAATGATACTAAGGAAAAAACAGTTTTATATGCTAACTGTCAATTTACTCACATTAAAAATCCATTACATCTTTCGTCACTACTGGAAATACCTCTTCCCAAGAAAAATCTGGCCCTTACTTGAAGCCAGTTGGAGATTTTAGTGTATGCAGTACTAGCAATATCTGAGAGGCAGTTCTTTGCCTCCTGCACAAAAGTGATGCTGAAGATCATGTTTGAATTTTTCTTACACACTTGCATTCAGTACGTAAATCCCCTACAAAGTTAATAGAACAAGAATTTGAACTGACAAATTCTGTTTGTTTTATCTTTTACAAAATATTTCCACAATGATTCAGAAGTTGATCTGATAGTATGTTACCAAAATTTCTGTATATTTTGCTTTCTTCTTTTTTTTTCTTTAGACAGCATGACAAGTGTGGTATGAGCAGGAATTCTGGAATAGGATGAGCAGGAATCCTGTGATGTGGTCAGGTAGGAAAGAAAGACAAGAGGTTCAAATACACAGAGCCAGCACTCAGAATGTGTAGTTCCTATGTTTGCAACAGCACGCAAAAACATTTGCTGGCTGTTTTCCTGGCTCAACTAAAGACAATGAAAGTTTTACTCACAAACATGTCAGAATCAGAATCCTCCTTCTTTGCATTATTCTTCCAGATCTTACACTCAGCACAAAGCAGGAATTTAAAATAACATCAGCAAACTTCATGCTGGCATCTGATGACTTCACGAACTCTAGACAGTTGTGATCCATGTTTCTATTCCGGCTTCTGCAGCTTCAATTTCAACCACAGTGAGTTCCAGTGTGTGGAGATCCTTCAAGTTGCCTTTGTTTACTCTGTATGTGACAAACCCCAAGTTTTTAAAGCTTCAACTAAATTCTGAAATCATTAGTTTTTACAGTTCCTTAATTTTCTCAGAGGTATAATTATTAATATTAGATATAAATATAATGGGAGCTGCCATTTAAGAACTATCACTTACTTTTACTTGAATTTATTTTCTTGCTCACACCAAATACAAGATAACCACCAGTTATTCTTAATGCCACATTTACAAAACCTCTCCTACACACTTCCAGTGAAGCCTGTGGTTAAATCAGACTGTGGTACACCAGTGATCATCTCCTTTTGTCAGTAGAAAGAACTATTTCAATGCAGAAAGTAGATAATTTGAATTTATAAAAGGTAAAATCTCTGAGGTCTGAACAGGCTTAGATCTGCTCTTCCCGGATGTCTTCTTTACTGGCTTAGAAAGAGAGTTTTTATGATTCTGAATTGTAAATCACAGTCTTGTTTAAAGTAGACCTATTATTTTGGGAGAGTACAATAACACTCTGACTGACATGCTAATATATGGTTTTACATGTTAGCTCCATTGTCCACTATTTAAGATAAGACAACTCAGACTGAGGGTTTTTTCTGTTCCTCAGCAGATTGTAAATAAACCCAGGATGAATATGAATACTAAAAGTAAACTGCTTGTACCATTTAGGTTTAAAATGCAGAAGCAAACACATGAAATTTAAATCTTAGCAAACTTCCGCTAGAATCCTTTTTATTAACATTGAAGGTATTCTGAAAAGCAAGAAATCTGACAGTGAGTGCCTGACATAAATATAATCAAACCTTATTTAGTTAGGTCATTCCATAATACATAAAAAAACTGAAATGCACAAAAAAAATAAAAATAAACACCTTCCCCAAAACTGCATGCTTAATCTTATTGTAATTTAGACCTTGAATTCCTGTCCTTATGTGATGTAAAACTTGGATAGAGAAGTGGATAGATACATTCAAAAGAACAGGTAGAAGGGAATTTCTTTGCCTTGCCTGAGTAATCCATAGTGGCTGATATAATCCAGTGGACAGGCAATTACCAGTTCTTGTCGCGAGCAGAGCGAAAGAATTTGGAAGCCTATTCAGACAGTTCATTCCTCAACATGCTGGTGCACTGAGAAGACAACATGTTAGATGCAGACTTACAAGGGAAGATGAAGGCAAAGATGGCAGAAGTCTTTTGGTGAGCTCTGCCTGGTATGGAGCATTCCTCCCCTTGTGTGGTGTGATTTTAATGCCTCAGCCCTCCTGTTCCTGCCTCCCCTCACTCCCAGTTTTCACCTTTCATACATGGTACATAACCTTCGACAATTTCCAGTCTACCTTTTCTTGATCAGGATCTTCCCTGCTGCACCAAAGACAAGCAGCATTTTTCTCCACTTAGACCAAATGCTACTTTGATATCCAAAGAAAACAAGGATAGATAGTCTTTAACAAACATGGAAAAAAATATGCCTTTGTATTTCATGGCTGTCAAACCCCTCACACACAATAGGAAAGATATACTGGTCAAAGATACATATGTCTAAGGTTTATCTGAAAATGGTAACTCCAACCAGTTTGCTATCAGGTATTTGAAGGAGATGTCAATACTTTCATAACTGATTAATTATTAAAATTTATTTTAGAATAGATGGGAGATTTAGTCTTACCTGATATGAGGGTCTTCAGGTTTATACATTACAGGGACAAGGATGGTGAAATGCATATATTATTTCTTTATTAGTTTTTAAATTCCCTGCTAGATTTGCCAAATGGTTTCACTGTCACTTACACTGACACTAATTTCACTAAATATTCTTCCAGTGCAAAGCTACATGATAAGCAACTTATTTGCAATAACTCACTGATCTCTATTACAGCTGTCAGGTGCTGCTGAAATTACAGCAACATCAAATACATTGCCAGAAGTATCTGAACCTGATATTTTAACTCTTAATAAATAAAATGTATCCACGGCACTTAGAGCCTACTAGGGCACAAAATTTTGATCACTTTAAAAGAATTTTTATTATTAGTCTCATTACACTAAAAATGATGGAGGGAGCAATTCAAATTTTCGGCTGAACTTTTCCAAGTTGCTTGGCCTACAGCCAAAAATAGCAGCAGTGCTTTGATTTCCTGTCCCTTTACCTGTCTGCCATAAAAGACACAGTTTTGGAAGCCTTCCAAGTCTACTTTCTTCTGAACATCCAAGCAGCCATAATAAGACATAGGATAACATCACCACATCAGTGAGCAGCTGATGCTACTAGTGGGTTTTGTTTGCCTGTTGAAATATAGCATAGTTAGTTGACACAATTTTTTGTAATACAGCCAGGCTATACATTAGTTGGAGCTTAAATCAGATGAGCAAGGTGGAAAATTAGTACCTTGGGGCTCAGATTTAGGGACAATAAATTCATCAACATTTCTGATAGGTATCCTAAAAGAACAAGGTGTTTTAATAAACAAACTAGAAACTTAGATGGAATATCATATGAGCATTTACTATTCTGATTCCCATTTCTGTTCTGCACCTATTATTCCCTCAAAAAATCCCACCGACCAACTAATCATCCAAAACAAACCCCAAACAAAATAAAATAAAACAAACCTCACCATAAAACCCACCCCTACCCTAAAGTTCAGAAACACAGGAAATTCGTAAAGAAGGGACAGGAACTCTTTGGCTGGATAAGATCAAATTTAAGTGTCTCCAAGAGTCCCTGTTGCAGGTGCACCTGTCAGACAATACGCTTCCTTGGAAATCATGACAGGTGGTAAGGATTAACTGATCAGCCACAAGTAAGAAAGGAGAAAATATCAAATCCTTACAGAAGTATTGTAAGGACTTAAAGAGCATAGTCACCTGTATCAAACACTGTCAAGGCCACAGAAGGAACTTGACATAAGACAAGCAACCACAGCAGGAACTTGAGATGAGCACAGAAGGGAAGAATTTGCAAGAGGAAGGTGCTAATTCCAGGCCTGGCAGAGGTGAGATCTGGTTAGCCCATTATGGTTAATGCATCCAGATAAAAATTATCACTACGGCAAACTGCATGAAAGGAAGCAACTGCTCATACACATATCACCGGTCAAAAAAAGATCATTTCAAGTTATGGGAATGCACCTATGTAGATACCAGGAACTTGGACTGTATAAAGGTGGTATCCCTCAGAAGAATATCTCTGGGACCCCCACCACCAAGAAGCCCAGGGTGAAGAAGGACCAACAGGATTCTGCTGGATCCATGGGGGTGGTGATTATCTTCTGCTTGATAGATACCTCTCTCTCCTTTCTTCTATTTCTTTCTATCTCTCCGCCTCACAGTTATTGTTAAATAAAATCCATATTATCGACTTTGGCATGCGGTCTTATTTGCACCTTAATTCGGGCAGAGGGATCTCTCTCCAGTTGTATCTTAACTGATAGTCGAGAAATGAATGTTTATATATTGTAAGACTTGTCAATCAGCAATCACGCTGCATTAAAGTGCAACATGGGTCTAATTTATTCACTGTGTGAGCTCTGATTGCCCTGTGTGTTCCATAAAATTAATCTTTGGAAAAGACCCAAATCTTGTTACAGTGAGCTACTGCAAGAGTTACTACAATGCTCCCAAAATAGAATTTTTCTACAATTGAAACATTTACTATAGTTTCTGAGAGTTTGTGTCATAATTATAAAGGTTGAGATGTTATTCTTGGATTTTTCTCTTTTATGCTGAACTTCAATTTTTGACATTACTAAATAATGTTAATTTTTTTGGATACGAATAAGTCATCTGTAACTGAATTATTAGTATTATTCTTAGGTTATATATCAAAAATAGCTGGACTTTTTGTTGGCAGACTGTTAAAGAACATGATAATGTAAAAAACCCCCTCTGAATATGGAAAATACTTTCTGTCCTCCATACTGTCCATACCCAGCTACTGTAGTCATAGACTGTTGCTAAAAGTGATGAGTTGTTTCTGGGAAACACTGCTGTGACCAAACATGTCACATGCTGTTCTGTAAATATACTACTAAACCATAGACCATATATTAATATGAAAAGATTGTTACACGGAAGATTCTTTTCTGTCTATAACATTGTATTAATGTACTGCTAAAGAATAATAAAAAATTCCCCTGTATGTGTTCCATTCCCATTTAAGTCATGTCTCAAAGGAAAATGCATTTTTAACTTCAAGTCTGGATATTTTATTACATTTGTTAATTCAAATCACACATTTTTATCAGAAATAACTATTTCTAATTAGGCTTTGAAAGAGATTTCCGCAAAAGCTACATTTATCTTATGTAATGTTATGGATATTTATTATATGGTTCTTTGGTTCCTCTGGGCTATCAATTTATATAAATGAGTTGCATTTTTTTTCCAAGTGATCATTGCTAACTGCTGTTCCTGTATGACATAATGTTTTACAACCATAGAATTTCAAAATTTAATGCGTTTTTAAAGAAATAGTTATAGGAAAATATGCAGCTGAATGCAAAATGAAAAAAAGCAAAATATAGTCTATTTTTTGTCTTAATTTTTAAACTTTTTTTAAAAAATACCCACAAAATAAGATAACCATTAAAAAACCTGAAATGTAGGGATTCTTACAAAAGCAAAATTGCAATAAAATAGTCACTTACTCGACTTGTTACTAGATCCTCAGAAACCTTTCCAACCCCAACCTAATCAACTTGAAGGTTCTCTTCTCGTAGCCGATAACTGAAAAGAAACAGAGCTGCTCATCTTTCTTTTTATTATACTAGCATAATCAAAGTGAGTTATCTGCTATTTAAGGTTTGTAATTTTTAAACTTGGATGATGGCATATGTAGTACAGAAATTTTTCATAAGAAGAAAAATTTGGATAAAATTTTGAAACTTACCCTATGCAAAGGATTCTGACATTTTGGCATGACTGATTTAAAAATTATTTTTTAGAAGCAGAGCTAAAAATGTTTGAATTACTTCAAATCACTGACAGTGTTTTCTTAGTGTCGTCTTTACATGAGGAGACTTCTGCTTCCAAGAATAGGTTCATTCCAAGTGTTTACTAGAACGCCATGGCCAAAATGCTCCGTACTCTTTTTTTTCTCTATATCACACTCCAGATGAGCTAATGCTACAATCATCTTTAGAGTTCTTACCCGTTTGCTGGTGAGTTTTCTCTCTTAAACAGTCAAAAAGATGGTCATTTCTTTCTATCACTCCAAGAAAAATCAAGTTGAGATGATGGTTAAGACTTCAAAATAAATATGACAAACATACATATACAGTGATGACTGTCTTCCTGAAATGAGCCTATATTTTTTAGAAATATGACAAACTAAAATTCTATTTGACACATACGATACTAACATAAGATATAAAGATATCTTTCCTGCATTATACAAGATATATTAAAGTGCAGTATATTTCAGTAAATTGCAACGTATCTGCAAACATTCTTCTTTTCCAGCATGTGATGATATGCTACATTTTTTCAACTTGGTTCAATTTTCTTTAGGTTGCTACCAATAAATATATTAAATAAACATATATGCTATAAATAAAATAGTACTACTGTATTCAGTGTTAGTTTGTGATGGAAAACAATGTGTTTTACTTCCATTTCCCCACCCCCGATCAGTATGCAATATCCTATTTAGGCTGTCAGTACCAATCATTGAAGTACATTTTAGACAGTTTTCAGTGTAATCTAAGATCCAAAATATACTTTTTGTTAGTCTTTATGCACATTTTAGATTACTGAATTAATTGTATTAGTTAAATATGAACATTATTTAAACAGAACCTCTCTTCCTGAAACTGTAACAAATGCTCGGCTTGCTTCAACATTAAACTAAACAGTAATGGCATGTTGTATTTACCATATAAGGCCATCTTTAATGTTTATATCATCTATTTTAATGAGATTCTAATCCTGACTGGAGCCTCTAAATGCAACTCAATAGGAAAAAAAAAACCCAATAATGAGTATATTTCCTTTTAGTAATCCATGGACCCAGTAACTCAGCCAGAACAGCTGGCATTCTTACTTCACATATCAGCAAAAACTGAATAAGCAGACTGTTTGAATGAGATCTCATGATATTAAAACATCATTTAAGTTATGGCAGTTACTGTTATGGGTATGCTGTAGAATAAAATATTTCAAAAACAAATTATGAACTGAACAATGATCTGTAAGGTTGCAGAGTAAAGAACTTTATGTGATACATTGATCAAGTAATAGCTATTTTACTCTGAGGCTAGGAATCATTCTGCCATAAAGGGCACCTTAGGCAGCTTTGAAGACTCTGCAGCTTTTGTCATCCCTTTTTCCTTTTTTACACACTAAAGTTATAGACAACTTGCCTCCAGAAGACCAGGGCAAGTCTTCCTTACATTTACTTCTGAGATATGAATTGCCAGTATGACTTTACTACACTGGCTGCAGTAACTAGGGAACATTTTGGCCTCGGTATATCATCATACAATCTTTAACGTGATTAAAAGAGCTTTCCAGTTGTTTTCTATTTCATCCTAGAATACAAACGTTACTTTGTGCACTACAATAAAAGATCTTTTTTTTTCTGTATTTTATACTCCTGTTGCTCCTTCTCTTACATAATAAAGAACATATAATGCTACTTTTCTTGAGTTGTTGAACATACTGATCAAGTCATGGGGAGTTTTAATATCAAATATACTTCTCTCTATATTTTTATATGACTTCTGATTGGGCTTTTTTCCAAAACACCTTTGTAAGGCTGAATTTTTGTATCCAGAATTTTTTTTCTCCGTGATTAAAGGCCTGAGAGGTAACTGCCTTCAGACAGCAACAGATGGCTTCATGTCAGCCTGCATTTTTTTTTCTCCTCTTCTCAACTGAAAGTTCAGAAGGCAAAGTAATGCCCAAATGGAGCATTACTGTTAATGCAACTTAAATATTTCAAGTGGAGTAAACAAGATAGAGTTGGATACTACATCCATACTATTTTGCCCATAATCAATCTTCTCCCCTCTTCCCCAAAGAAACAATATGACTCATATGACTGTCGCTTCAGTTTTGGCTGCAAATACTTGTAAGCTGCAGAATTTTGCCATTTACGTATAAAAATAGACAAATATAAAATTAAAAGTGCTATAAGGGAAAAAAGAAGTATTTTGATGAGCAATATTTTCTCCCAGTGACCCCAGTAACATTTAATGGTACAGTGCCCTCAGTAGCTACATTGAAACATCCTCACTCTTCATCTAATCACAAATTACACTAAAGGTCATGAGTTAACCATATGTCAGGGTAACTGGGAGGCAATTTGGTTGAGGGGCAGGGAAGAACAAATAGGCAGGCTGCTGTTTTCTAGAGTTGTCACAGTACAATTTACAGAAATCTCTTCGCAAGCAGAGAAAGAGAATGCATTTGTGACTAAGTTTAGGACTTCAGTGACATGGCAAAAAGGTTTTAAAATTGTAATGAAGCTTAAATTACCTTTCCCTTTAGGTTAATCCTGCATTTCAGTAGGTGTCTGGATATACCAACTGCTTCCTAATGATAGACGAATGATGATTGGGCACATAAAAAGAATAAAGACTAAATAGATAAGAATAAAGATCCAACTACGAGGTAAGAAAATTAGTATCTCACTAGATCTTATACAGGATAAAATATGAACATTATTTTTTCTCTCTTAGGAACTCCAAGTCCTCTTTCCTATTAAATTTTCCCCCTATGATGATGGAAATATTTGGTGTTTCTATAACACAAAATATTCTTTATGAATGAAATATTTCTGAGCCTAGGTCTATCACATAATTCTTCCTGAACCATGATTATAGGAAACGAAATAGGAGTTTTCTTTACCTTAAATCATAAAATCTCTGTAGTAACAGCTAAGCACCAGCTTTCTTAAAAAACCTCGCATCTACAGAAACCATGAAAGCTCCAGATTACCTGATGTCTCTTTTTAAGCATAATCTGTACTTCTGAATATAATCCTGCATTTTACCTTTTGTTCCCACACAACAGCAGAGGTGGATATCAGGTCTAGGTAGAAGTGCTGCAGCATATATCCTGGGACATAGCATTACACCAAAGAAAATACAGAACAGTATTTTTGTCACTAAACACATCTAATCATTAATTGACTAGAAAGGATTCTGGGGTTCTGACTGCCCCCACTTTCCAGGAAAGAATGCTGGCAAATACAACAATTGTGCAATTTGGGTTGATTAAGTAAGAGCATGTAAATAGATTTACAATCCAGAGCTGGTCAAGGTGTTAGAGTCTTAATTTATTATTTTGTCAAAAAATGAATATGGTACAATTTCCTCTTGGAAACAGGGAGAAACAGAGCTGTAAGAAAAAGACTCTTCTCCTTTCACCTTGACTGGAAGCTCTGACTGTATAGAAAGGGAGAACTCTTCCTCTCTTCCATTAATATTTTAAATATGTCTCAAAATATCTTTTTGTTCTTTAGTACCACACTTCCTATAAAACTTCAGAAGATTTAGAGCATACACACAAACTCCACTGCTTATTCCACTGACCAGCTTTCCGCTTCCCCTGTGCATGTGCCTCTATCTTGTCTGTCCTGTGGAGAGTGTTTCTGTTCTTTGTTTAAAGACAAACATTCCCAGCCGAGCCCATCCCATTCCCAACCGAGCCCATCCAGAACAAATAAACAGCAACATGGAAACTCTGATGGGGCCCACTGCTTTCTCGTAAGCACTGGGAATTAAAACCTGGATCAGCTGGTATTAATAAAGCATGTACCACTTGTTGATAGCAGAATAGAACCAAATTACTTTGTTATTTCAACAGCAGAGGATGGATAAAAAGTAGATAAAATATATTTAAAAAACAATCTAAAGAGATACCAGTAAAAGTATCATTATTAACTAGAAATATTCATACAGAAATACTTTCTATTTTGGGAAATTTAACTCATACCCATAAACCTAAATTCTGCTAAATTCTCCTTATTTATGCATCTAACCTCACCTTAAAAAGCCTCAGACTATATAAAAAAAATGAAAGATAATACATATAAGCAAAGTTTTTCACAACTGGATAGCCCTTCTAATCTGCAGCAGAAACAACTTAATAATGATTCTTTTTAGTTGACTTCTCTGGCCCTTATCTGAAATCCAATATGTGTTCTCATGGCCAGAATAGAATCATCCAATGGAGAAGTCACAGATAAATCCCGTAAGGTTCTCCTGGTTTTTGAAGGACAGATTTTAGCATAGAAATTCTGTTCAGATAACTGAATGGCATCTATTCCCTGGTCTCACCCAAGGCAAAAGCTGACTACTAATGCCCTGTGAGCCTTGCTTCATGATCATTAATTTGACACAGCACTCCTCTGAGTTCTATTTCAATTCAAAACTTTTACTAGGGAAGTTTGTGCTCAGTGAAGTGAGGATCATTGTTAACTTAAGATTATTTATATCATATCCAGTGAGAAACATTAATAGCATTAGTTTGGTTCAGTCATGATTTTTCTTTTTTCAGTAGTGGATGCTGTTTCATTTAATAAAAATTAGACTGACACATTTATACAAGCAGCATTGAATGTCACAGCATCCCTGATTAAACATTTAGGGTGGCATGTCAAATTCTTGGCAAAGTCTAGAATCACTCCAATTTTCCAGAAGGGATTGGCATATATAATATATATAACATCACTATTTATCACAAATCTGCTGTGCTGCATTTTTAATGAAAAAGAAGCTTCT